AATATTCAAACCCATGTACCAATAACTGTCGCCAACCCCTGACCCCCAAAGGTCAATGTTGAACATAACTTGATTGAATTTGTGTTTCCAGGGTTGGATTTGTTTCGTCCATTCGCCGAAACATTCTTGCAAGACCTCTAACATTGAGCTTTGGGGTAGAAGGGGTCCACGTGGTTGAAAGGGTTTGAATATTTCGTCCATCTACGGTACTGGGTGTGGCCGGCGACCGGAGACCTCACATGCGTGTGTTGTTTTCAAGTGATGCCGGGCGGTTCCAGCTACTGTTCTTACTGTTGCCATGTGCTGTGTCTGTTCCCAGTCCCTTTCCAGTGCCTTTCCGGTGCCTTTTCCAGTGCCTTTTGCACTTTCTCGTGGCCCTGCCAGGAAAAAAGTGTTTCTGGTAAGTTTTGTTGAAACAAAAAGATAAGCTATCTGTTTTTAGCAAAAAAGTGAGTCACATGGCAAATCACTGGCAGGCGCACACAAACCGTGAAAAGGCACTGGAAAAGGCACTGGAAAGGCACTGGGAACAGACACGGCACATGGCAACAGTAAGAACCGTAGCTGGAACTGCTCTTCATCTGGCTTGCTTTCCTGACGTCTGCTGTCCTCGCTCGCAACGTGTCGATGTGAAAGTGTTGTTGAGCACAGAAGATTAAAACTTAGATGTTCTCAGAACCCACTGTGGCGGGAACACTTTGAAAACCAAGCGAAACATTCTTACATTGTTTTTGCAATTGTTTAATTGTTTAAAACATTGTTTATAACATTGTTATATTGTTTCAAACATTGGTTATTATATTGTTATATTGTTTAAAACATTGTTTATAACATTGTTGTATTGTTTAAAACATTGTTTATAATATTGTTATATTGTTTACAACATTGTTTACAACATTGTTGTATTGTTTATAACATTGTTTAAAGCATTTTTATATTGTTTAAAACATTGTTTATAACATTGTTACATTGTTTAAAAGATTGTTATGTTGTTTAAAGCATTGTTTATAACATTGTTACATTGTTACATTGTTCAAAACTTTGTTTATAACATTGTTTTCGTTCGAAACATTGTTTTGTTAAGTTGCTTGGGGACCGTCGTTCGTTGTTTCGGGGGAATTAGCGCAGAAGAAGTGTTTTTGACCCTTGCGGACCTCTGAAGAATTGGTTGTTCAGAACTAAGAGAGGGTATAAAACACGTCTTGTTTTTTTTTGCGTTGTTAGTGGCAACATACGAGACCCAAAGGACTATTTCATAGGTTTGTTTGCCTCGTGAGTGGTGAGTGAACGGCCACGGTAAAAGCTTTGTAGACGTTGTAAACCTTTGTAAATTTGTTTGTAATTCAACAACTCTGTCAACTCTTTGCAAAAGTTGCAAACTTTGTACAAATTCTTAAGACTTTGTGAAAGTTTTGTAAACTTTGTATAACTTTGTAAAAATATAAAACTTTGTAAACGTTCTAAAAACTGCGTAAAACGTTGCTCTAACTTCGAAGAATAATTTGAAGAACTCCAAAACTTCGTAAAAGGTTTGTAAACCTGTTTACAAAGTTTGCGATTTTTACAACGTCTTAATAAAGTTTTACCAAGGTCTTACAAAGTTTTACAAGTTTAAAGGTTGACAAAGCTTACAAAGTTTGACAAAGTTCAAAAATGTTTTACAAAGTCTACAAAGTGTTGACAAAGTTTACCAAGTTTATACCAAGTTCACTACGTTTTTACAAAGCTTTCAAGGTTGGTACAAAGTTACAAAGTTTTACAAAGTTTGCAAAGTTTTACAACCGTTTACCAAGTTTACAAAGTTTTACTTTTTTTAAACACAGTTTACAAACTTTTGAACAATTTCCAAAGTTTACCCAGTTTACAAAGGTTTTACCAATCAAAAATCAATTAAAGACGTATTGAAAGTTTTACAATGTTGCTGCAATGTTGACAAAGTTTTTACAAAGTTTACACCGTTTTGCCAAGTATTGAAAGTTTACAAAGCTTGTACAGTTTATATTTTTTTACAAAGAGTGCACATTTTACAATTGTTACATGGAGTTTTTGCAAAGTGTACAAACATTTGCAAACTTTACACAGTATTTACATAGTTTACAAAGCTTTCACAAACTTTGCAAAGTTTATACAGTTTACAACGATTTTACAAAGCTTTGGAATTTAACAAAGTTCTTGCAAAGTTCGGAATTTACACAGTTTTTCAATTTTTACAGACTCTACAAAGTCTCACAAAGTGTTTACAACGTTTTCAAAGTTTTACAAAGTTTACAAAGTTGTACAACGTTTGTACAAAGCTTACAACTTACAACATGTTTCAAGTTTACAAAGTTTTTACAAAGTTTACAAAGTTTTTACAAAGTTTACACAAGTTTTTCAAGTTTACAAAGTTCTTACACAGTTTACAAGGTTTTTACAAAGTTTTTACAAAGTTTACAAAAGTTTTTTAAGTTTGCAAAGTTTTTACAAAGTTTACAAAGTTTTTACAAAGTTTACAAATGGCTGGTGAAAAACACTTATGTTTACAACAAATGACATGAAAAACACTTCTTTTTAAGCAAAAAATCGTGCAAAAACACTTCTTTCACAGAACTTTTCAAAGTTTTACAACGTTTTTACAAAGTTTACAACGTTCTGACAAAGTTTGCGACATTTGCCTTTTGTTACACAAATTTACAAAGTTTTTTACAAAGTTTACAAAGTTTTGAAGATTTTGGAAAGTTTACAAACGATTTTGCCAGGTTTACGAAGTCTTGCAAAGTTTACAGAGTTTCGACAACGATTACAAAGTTTTGATAGTTTATGTTTTTGCAAAGTTTACAAAGTTTCTTTCTACATTTTACAAAGTTTTTACAAAGTTTGTACAGTTTCACAATTTGTACAAAGTTTTTAGGAAATTTACAAAGTGTTCAAAGTTTACAAAGTTTTCATAACGTTCACAAGGTCTTTCAAAATGTTTACAATGTTTTGACAAAGTTTACGAAGTTTAAAAACATTTTACAAAGTTTGCAAAGTGTTACGAAGTCTAACGTCTTTTTTAAATAGAGTTTACGAAGGCCTACAACATCTAAAAGTTGTTTACAAAGTTTACAAAATGTTAGTACAAAGTGTACAAAGTCTGCAATGTTTACAAACTTTTTGACAAAGTTCACAAAGTTTTGACAAAGTTTACAAGTGTTTACAAAGTTTTGACAAAGTTTTCGCATTTTACAATTTTTTACACAAAGTTTTCGCTTTTTTTACACAGTTTTACAAAGTGCACAAAGTTTTTACAAAGGTTTACGAAGTTTAAAGTGTTTCAGTGTTTAAAAAGTTTACAAATTTAACAACAGCTTACGGAGTTTTGACAAAGTTTGCAAAGTTTTTTCAATCTTTACACAGTTGTTGCAGAGTGAAAGTTTACAAAGTTTTAGAATTTCACCAAAGTTTCTACAAAGCTTACACAGCTTTTTTCAAATTTACAAAGTATTTACAAAGTTTACAAAGTTCTTACAAAGTTTACAACGTTTTGCAAAGTTTTCAAAGAATAAAGTTTACAAAGTTTTGACACAGATGGAAAAAATCCGAAACTTTGTAGAAAGTTTGTAAGCATCAAAAACTTTTGTAAAAGCTTTGTAAAAAACGTTCAAACTCAATAACTTGGTAACAACTTTGTAAAGTTCCAAAACTTGTTCAAAGCTTGATAAATGTCCAAAGCTTTGTTCAGATATCTAAAGGTTCAATACTTTGTAAAAACTTCGTAGTTCCAAAGTTTTGTAAAATTCAATGTACTGTAAGTTTCCAAAACTTTGTGACGTTTGTTATTTCTATTTTTAAACTTTGTAGACTTTGTTAAAACTTTGTAATGCAAAAACTCGGTTAAAAAAGTTGTAATTCCAAAACTTTGTCAACTTTTTTGTAAAGATCCAAAACTTTGTAAACACTTTGTAGGAAGTTTGTTTGAAGACCTGCGAAAGCTGTTCAAGAAGAGCTGATCTTTGGATCAGTGAGACTGCTTGCATTTTTTGTTAAACAAACGGCATTTGGTGCTTGCGGTTTGGGAATTTGTGACTGATGGCTGTAGTGTTTCAGGGTATTGAGGGTGAGAAGAAGGGTCGAATGGTTATTGGTTGTGCAAGTGTTTTAAGACTTGGCCACGGAAACACCAAAACACTTCTTTCATTTTTCCAAATAACATTGGTGCAAAACACTTCTTGCGAGCAAAAACACTAAACTCAAGCAACTTAACACATTGTTTATAACATTGTATACAACATTGTTAAACTGTTTGAAACATATGATGTATTGAACCTTGAGAAAAAAGGTTGCTGTAGACTTTTTGTTTGTTCAATCAGTTTGTTCCTTAGTCATAGGCTAGTAAACAGTTTGCTCGCCTCTGAAAACCTCTTCACTTCAACGATTTGAACACTCCATGCTGCCACCAAGCTTTCAAGCCACAACAGCCCAAGCGCGCCGCAACGTTGCCATGACATACTTGTATTGTTGGTTCTGCTTGATGGACATGTTTACACCCTACCTGCAGCCAAGTGATGCAGCAGGGACACACCTACTGGCTCGGGATTGCGAATGTGACTTCTTGGGCACTCCCTCGCCAGAGCCTAAGGCCAAGAGGCAAAGGTTGGGCCCAGTGGATTTCACCCCACCCAAAGAGCCAAAGAAGTGATGAATGCTGATCAGCTTGCTGACATTGCTAGGCGATATGGGGGTGGCCACAGGCCTTGTGTGCCCAGACGTGCC